GGTTCCGACGCGAAACTTCGACGGGTCATAACTTCTTCGTTATAACTCGGATTTCGGCGTTCTTTATATGTACGGAAACTTTGTGACATATTCTACAACTTGGTCAAGATTATTTATTCTAAATAATTTTTTTGTAGAAAAGTCGTTTTCGACCCCTATTGCCTCTAAATTGACTAGCCCGGATCTGCGGGCGTTACAGTTACCAAAAGGTTTCTAAGAGACTGTTTGGTAGGATCTTAATTTTTAATATCTACATTTTTAAGTGGTTTGAATTTCTAAGATCTGAATTTATAAATATTGTTTGGTTGGAACATCTGAATTATAGTGATAAATGATAAAAATGACTATTTTACCCTCATGTGTAATTTTTTTTAATTCAATGTTTTTATTTATAAAATAACCAAAAAATGTCAACAAAAAATGACAACATTATTTCATATCAACAACAAATCATTAATTAACCAAAATTCAATGTTTTTTTATATATAAATCCAACAAAATTCAGCAGTAAACAAGAAAATTTTCACCAAAAAAACAACATTATTTCAAATCAACAACAAATCATTATTTTCAGCACAATTTCACAACAATATTTCAGGAAAACAAAAAGATTTTATAGATTTTCAGAACATATTTTAGAAATCACAGCAACAATATATTCCAGCAATCAACAACATAATTTCATAACAATATATTTCAGCAATCAACAACATAATTCCACCAAGCTTCTTTTGAATCAGAAAACAGTAACCAACAATATGATTATCATAAAACATTCATGAATTTTAAGAATAAAAATAGCTTGTAATAAACCTTATGATCATCCATTAATTTCAACAGTTTCTTATCTGCTTTCTTCTGCTCTAAAATCGTCAATTCATTCAAGCATTATCAGATCATTCAAGCAATTTTGTGTACATTTGAGTCATGCATTTCAAACATAACCACATCAGAAAACAACATATGAGCATCTGATTTTAGAAAAGAAAAAAAAAACAGTCATAACAGTTCTTGAACTCGATTAAAGAAAAAACTTCTTAGAACCTGAGGTTGTTGTTGCTGGCAGAGGATGACTATGGCAGAGTGGCGGAGTTGCAGAGATAACAAAGCACAATGCTGGCGTGAAAAGTCTTCTTGTATAGAACCAGAAGAGAAATGTCTCACTGAGTATTAGGGCAAAGCGGCAGTGTTGTGCGAGGGTGGCATCGACGCTGTCTGAGGTCGGAGATGATAAAAACATCGAAGGATGACTGAGGGAAGCAACATCGATGTCTGTTGTTTGATGGAAGATCGGCGTATGTTGTTTGATGGAATGAAGAGGGAAGAGGGAAAAGGGGCAAACAAGGAATGCGTGTTTTTTTTCTTTCGGATACAAGTATATGTCTGACCGAATAAGTGAAACTATTCAGATTCAGATGCTAAAACAAGTAGCAAACAAGCGCTATTGATCGGACAAATTCAGATTTACCTCTTATTAAGAGGCAATAAAAAGTAAACAAACAACCCCTAACTAATGATATAAATGTTACTTTTTTTTTAAGTCAAGGTTCAAGTTCTACCATAAACATATATAGAATTAAAAGCTTGTTCAAAAAAGCTAAGATAAAGATATTTTGATATACTGATTAGAATAAGAAGCTTGTTCAAAAAGATTTTGTTCCAAGAAACGCACAAACATACAAATATGACTTTAATGAAAAAAAAAAACACATTATGGGTCACATTTATGATGCTAGTATCCAAATCTAGTGTGTATCGAAGAATCTTTGGTGTCCCAGATAGTAATCCAGGTATCTTTAATTTATTTCAGATGCCAAACATAAATTATTAATATATAGTCATGTTTGTCGAACGTTTGTTAATTTTTTCGGAATTATTATTCACATAGGAATTATCATACATCAGCAACACCACCATCATATGTAATATGTATTGTACAAGTCAATAAAACATCATGTCAAACATAAATTATTAATTTATAGTCATGTTTGTCGAGGTTTGTTAATTTTTTGGGAAATGATTATTCACATAAGAATTTTCAGTCATCAGCAACATCGTCATATTTATTGTACAGGTCAATAAAACATTTAAACATTTATTTTATGTGGAATAATTGAAATCTTTAGTGGAAAGATTTATATCTTAATAATGAAGATTTATTTTAGGAATAGCCGAGCTAGCTAGAGACTCGCACATGTGATAAGTTCCCTTACATTTGTAAAGTATAACAAAAATATTTGAAAAAATTAGCGTAAAATCATAAATAATGAAATCTCCCATAGATTTCATAGATTTTGCGGCAATTTTTCTTTCCTAATGATTTTTTGTCGGCTTTTGTGAATGGTTCATGTCTTCTCCTACTTATTTTTATTAGACTTTTTACAATTCATAAAAGAACAAACATAAGTTTACATTGTCATTCATTGTTTTTTTTATTTATAAATAAATAAATTATTTAACTGTTCAACCTTATGGTCTACCTTTTCTGTTAAAAAATCTTGGTATTTTGTATTGCAAATTTTGTTGAACATCTTGATTTTATTTATTTAGAAAAGAGCTAGAATAATAAACAAATTACGAAGTAGAAATATTCAAAATCGAGGCGTATAAAGATCCGATTCTCTGACTTTGAGTTTTGAAACTCTATTATGAATCTAACTAAACGAAAGAGTGACTTTTTTTATTTTTATTTTGTTATTTTTTTTTATTTTTTATTTTTTTAAATTTAATTTAATTTTTATTTATCAAATAGAGCTGTCTTTCATGGGTTTTAAATCCGAAAAAGTAAAAAGTTCTAGAAATTGATTTTTTTTATCTTGATAATATTGTTAACACTAAGGGCAAGAACATCCACAATTAATGTGAGTTCAAGATAAAATTGAATGAGGTTATAAGTCTAGATGTTATTCAATAGATAAAACTCTACATAAGATGCTATCTTGACATTTAATGAATTTGAAATTTAATGATTATTGAATTCTTCAATGATTTTTTTTTTAATTCTTAAAATGTATACTATAAATTACTTTTTATAATATTTTATTGAAATTTATAGAATTCAATACATTATAGTAAAATAAAAAGATAGAGTTATACAGATTGTAAAAAGATGATATGACAATCCACGAAACTCTATAAAACTCAATGCATTGTAACGAATCAAAACGATGTGTTTACCTGGTAACAAGACCCTTAATATGCTTAAGATACTTATTATCTACTAGTACCAACCAAAGAGAATACTAATATCTAATTATGTACCTACAAACTTCTCTCCAAATAGACTTAGCCACGAAACATGAATACAATAAATGCTTAGTCATTTACACATGATAATCACATGAGGCAAATAATAGTATCAACTTGCACTCCTATTTTGTCTAAATACATTCAAGTAGGCAAAAGATTCACCACCATAAAATATTGACTTTAATAGGAACCAATATATTCCATCTAGTATCATAATCTCACATGAACAATGTTCCATATCAATAAATCTTCTAACTGTTAGCGCGAATTGTCCCATCAAATCTAAATCTCTTATCTATTTCCATCAAATCTAAATCTCTTATCCATCTATTGGGTTTATCCCTATAAAACAATTAGATTAAGAGTGTTCTATTGTTCTTCCGATTGTGCATATGTAACACATGTAATTGGTAGCTATAAGATTTGGCCATCAAGTGTAAATTAGTACAAACTAGGGAAGAATCTCCATTTTGCAGGGTTTCCATTCTCTTCAATTCTAATTCCAATCGACCACAACGAATTGCAATAAAATTACTGTAGTTAATAGAGATAAGTGGAATTCTAAATTCAAGGTTAATAAAATCTCATCTGCATTACGTTTCCAATTGTTTATAATCTCTATTAAAAAAGTCTTAGAAAATCAACTTAAAAGTAAATTAGGAAAAAAATCTTAAACTCTAACTGCAGAAAAAAAGAAATACAAAAAGAATGGTGTTCAGATAAAACGGACATATGCAATAAAAAGCAACATACAATATTGCCCTTTCAAGGGGATATAATTTTTATGATAAACAAATGAATAAAAGCATAATGATATTTCATCATAATCACCATAACATCATTTTATTAGCCTCTTCCTTATCTTTTGGCTCAGCATCATCATTATCAGCCTGAAAAAGAACATAACATTTAACAAATCTATAATTAATAATAATAATAATAACTGATGAGAAAGATCATTTAAACTAAAACTTTCATAAAGTATAAACCAAAACGTTCACATATTAAAAAAGTTATTATATTTGAAACACATTTATGATGTAACAAATTTTTTAGTAAACAACACAAGTTTGACTTATGTTGTTCAACCATTTTACCTCCTATAATTAGTTTTTCTTATAAGTCGGTCAAAAAACGACAAACAAATAAGAAGTTTTATATGATTTTATCCAAAATAACATCCATGGTTCAACATCTAGTCATGATAATAAATTAACATTAATGAGAATCGAAAAACAATTAAAACTATAACTTATTAAAACATGGAAAATTACTTAAATTGTTCCCTGATTCTCAATTCATGAGACTCATCTAATTAAAAGACTTCATCAAAAAGCAGATGAACAACTTGTAAGGCATGTAAATATGCTTATTTTGTAGACTGAGTAATTAATTAACTAAATGATCATTTTACTTTTACATTCCAATAAATATTTTTTAGAAAATTCAGCAAATTCTAACCTTAGAGGAGTTGTAAAGGTTGTGAAGAAATGTAATCATCACCATCTCAATTAGATATATAAACTTATACTTTACTTAGACGAATGTGTACTTTGTTTATTAACGTGTCACCTGTGAGCAGAAAAAGGCAAAAAAGCCAACATAAGAAACTTAAAGCATATGAAATAAAGATCATATAAAAAAAATATTTGAAATAAGTTTGAAATCTTAGAACCTGATGGATAACAAATATTATATCTATCAATCTAAACAAATAGGATTATAGAAAACTGGGTTTGAATCAACAACAAATGATAAACAATCACCTGAATAAGCCTCAAGGTTTTTGAAATCTCTTATTAGCTTGTCAACCTAGATTGAATTTTTATCTTAGCAGTGCACATGTTGTCCCCGAAAAACAAACAAAATAGATGCATACGATGATAGACAAAAGAAATGGAATTTTTAGGCCATCTGGTTATTAATTTATGAATTCATGAGATTAAATATATAAGGTTGCACGTTAAATTGAAAATGGAGGATAGATAAGGTCAAATGAAATCTAGAAAAGTAAGATTATAACACAATACAATAAACTGGTATTTGTATTACACTATTACCAAGGTTCTAAAAAGCTCGCTACGACTCCGCCATGGCTCCAAGGCTTGTACATGCTGGCAAGCTTTACCAAAATACTGCCTTAACTCATATATATGTATAAAAATGAATAATAGTTGAAAATACATATAAAAATATTAATTATATACAAAATTGTCGCTTTAAGTCACGCCTTAAAATAACGTGGCTCGCCAAGGCTTGGAAAAACTTTAGGCTTGACATTGCCGCCAAGTCACACCTTACGTTATTTAGAACATTGACTATTACTATTACCTTTGCATCGGAACTGTTCAGAAATGCCTCCTGTGATCGCCAACATATCTTGCTTGATCCCCAATGTCTTTTTCATTTCTATGTAACTACGCAAAACTTAATTGATTATTAATAAACGTCACCCTAATTAAAAGTTGAAATAAGAATTAGTAATGAAATTTGGAAAACTCAAATTCCTTCTCAACCCGAATTACACATTTTTGTTCTTATGTCCATGGCAATAAGTATTTAGTCCAACACTTTAACTGCATTCCTATATAAAAAGATTATAAAAAACAGATCAAGAATGAAGAAATAGAGACAAACCTTTTAATGGGATCTAAACCAAATCTAGAATGGAGAAGTGAAGAGGTTTTAACTTGGAGCTTTATTATGTCACTTTCTAATGTCACAGAGGGCTTCCTGTTCATTCTTTGTCCTTAACTGCATTTTTCTATGGTGAAAGCTTCTCTCATTCCGTTTGTTCGAGTCAAAGATTAGCAACGGAAATGTGCTCTTCTCGTCGTCACCACAAACTCTTTCTATTGCTGTTTTTCCTAAAGAAGATTAAGGCAAAACACATACACAATCATCATAAACTCAATTACCTATGTTAACTAAAGAATATAAAATTCAACATCCTAAAATAAAAATTGAAGAACCAATACATTTAGTGTATACTTACTTATACTTCTACAATTGAAACAAAAATAGGCCACTTTGATCAGAAATAGAGATATGTAATTTGATTGAGATTTGCAACTCTCACCTTATTGTTTCTTTCTGTCAACATCTTGCAGAGAAACTTCAGCCTATGTTCTCTATGTTAGATAGGATTTTGGGTGTTTTGGAATCTTCCATTCCAAAACAAGGGGGATAATCAACAAAAGAGGTATAGAAAGCAACAACTGAAATTTTCAAGAAACCAGATGGGGGTGATGATTTTGAAGAACAAAAGCCCAAAATCAATGAACCAAAGGTGAATGCAACTTCGAGTTCTAGAGGCAAAGAAAAGATTATCAATGACAGTGAAGAGGATGAACCTAATGAGCATGAGTTGAAACGAAGGAAGGGTCATGAAGCTGAGATTGATGAACACAATCACATTGTTAAAGAAGTTGAAGAGAAAGCAAGGCTTGCTTGTGAAGCAGAGGATACTTTGAAAGCTCAGAAAACCATCTTTCCTCTGTTTACACTTGAGCATATTCTAAAAGAAGCCATTGAAAATCCAAACTTTTATTGGATAGAGCCTATTGGGTCATTTGACTTGGGGAAATCCTCAGACCCACATCTCAATTTTCCTATCAATCTGAAGGCTTTTGTCTTTCGCAACATTGACTTAATTGAGAACGATTCTCTAGCTGACAAAAGTGCAGATCAGGCTTTATGTTTGTTTTACTTGAAGCACATGTCTCCACAATACGAAACATGGAGCTCAAAGAAGATTACTACTATGAAGGTGCATGGACCAATTGAAACTGAGAGCTTCATCAATGCTTGTTTCAAGGTTGCTCATGAGGCAGTGAGTTCACCTCATGAATTTACTTTCGTATATCTTCTAAGGAGGAGATTATTAATCATTTGGCACAACTTTATTCTTCATTCTTTTGTTTTTATTCATTTACCTGTTTGAATCTAATTGATCTTACAAGTTTTATTCTCTTTAACAACCCCTATAGCCCGTTTATCCTCAATACTAGTATTATACTTTGTCTCTACCTCCTTAGCTTTAACTGTATCCTCAACCGAGATAACCATACAAACCCTTTCATCCTCCCTTTATAGGGGTTGATGACACCAACCAATATTACTACGAATACCAATACAAATGAGCCTTAACTTCCCCGTATGTAGAAGCAATCCAGCAATATCAATTACCTACTACTACTTGTTTACCAACAATAAATTCATACAATGGTTCTATGGACCCGTATGATCACATTGAGAAATATAGATGGATGATGAAAGACCACTACCTAGACCCACACTTTTGGTGCACATGCTTTGTCACCATGTTTATCCATACTAACAAGATCTTAGCATAAAAGTCTCAATCCAGGAAGTATTAGAGATTTTGAGAACTTATAGGAAGATTTTTTGGCTAATTTTATTCAACAACAAACCTCTCTTATGAACACCATTCCTTTTTCTAGTGTCGACAACGTGTAGATGAAACGGTCGACACATACTTTAAAAGGTTTAACAAAGCCATGCTACAACCCCTGGCAGGGTCATCAACAAGATTGTGATCGTGTTGGCCTTTACTTAAGGTCTCAAAGAAGGTCCTTTATTTTGAAACTTGGTAGGGAAATAGTCGCGAACATGAAAATAATTGATGGAAAGAGTAAGTAGGTACATATGGTAGGAGGAAGATATAAATGAAAAGTATAGAATAGAAAATGGGAGCAAGAGCACAAGAGCTAGCGGGGTTCAAAGGACACAGAGTGGAAACAAGGAGCACTATCACAACTAAAAAACATATGTTTAGACATAGATTTCATCCCTTCAATAGAGATGGATCCCCTCAACAAAATTCAGAAATACTATCCATCATTTACGAGAAGAACTAACCAAAAAAAGAATTCCCTTTAAGAGATAAGACAAAGTACTATGAGTATCACTTAAGTTATGGTAACAACTCTGCAAATTATAGTTTAATGAAGAGGTAGTCCGAACGACACTTAAAGTTGAGAAAGTTGACCAGCTACATTTGGGAGATAAAGAAGACAAAATCTGAAGACCAACCCCTATAAGATAAAGAAGGTTAAACCAAATATGAGGAGAACGAGATTTTCTAAATCAACTATGGGGGTGAGTAGAGGAGACATGTTTTTGAGGCTCACCTCCATAAGTACAACCTATAAAGACATGATCATTTCCTTCCTTTCAATTTAAGTATTTTCTGCTTTCGACGCTTTTTCAATTTAGATACTTTTTATGGTCTTTGCGTGTTTGGATTTCATTTTTCTTCTTTCTAGTCTATGCATAATTGGCGTTTGATTCTATTAGTTTTGTATCAAACAAGAAAAGATTAGAAACTCATACGTGTCCTATATTTTTCATTGTCTACACGTCACGACAAAGATGCATTGGTTGCCATTACCACCAAGAATGCATAAAAAGCACCATCCATTAATGGTAGTGAAATTTAGGTACCTACTACATTCACTCAGGACTCAAAAGTTGGAGAACGTTACATCCAATGGTTGTACATAATCTAGGATGAGGATTATATCCCTTAGGCTATTCTTGAAATCCCTAGGAAGTCACTCTCGATGATATGAGGGACCTTGATATTGCCATATTTATACTCATTTTTAGGCAATATTTAAGTACATTTTTATTAAAAAGTCGGTAATTTGTTTAGAATAATGGTACTTATGAGCTTAAATGTTGTTTACAGCCAAAAAAGAAGACATTTTGAAGAAAAGGGGACTGAAAATGTTAAAGAAAGAAACTTTGGGAATTAGAAGAGTAAAAGTGAAGTAAATCTGGAGAAAAGGTTATTCACGACGTGAGAATTAAAGGATTCACGACGTGAATCAATGGTTCTAGAAGATATATACGCAGGTGAAGAAATCCTTGACGGGCACGGTTATGTACTACTCACGACGTGAATTTATGATTATTCACGACGTGAATTTATGGATAACAGCAATTATATAGATCCTTGACCTTGACGAATAGAGGGACTTTTGGCAGAAGAAAAGGAGTTCCAGGAGACGTTTCAGAGCGGAAGAAAGGTCCTGGAAGAGGGATTTCAACACCAAAAGAAGTAAAGTTTTATATTTTAGTTAATTATGAACATGTCTTTCATTAGTTTTAGCTGTGTTAGTTTAATTACTATGATGAGCAGCTGAATCTAGATACTCTTGCTTAGCTAGATGAAGCTTTGAACTTAAGAATAGGTATATGTTTATGGATTAATTTGAGTTGGTAAAAATTGCTTGTGTTTGCTTTGTATAACCTAGCATGTTATTATTTGTTTATCTAATTGCTAGATTGCATGTTCTGTGTAGCTTAGTGACCATGAAACTGCATGAACTTGTTTACCTAATAATTTAGTGAACATTAAATTGTTAGAGCTAGGATTGACCAATCTTAGTTAGTAATTAGACTGAATAAATCTTAGCTGTGCTAGAGAACGTGAATTGTGACCATAATTGCGTTTAAACAACAAATCTTACATAGCATATTTACATTCATAATTAGTTTTGTGTTTAATTATGTGTGAACATACATGGTTTGACATGAATTAGTTACTTATTGGTAAGATAGAACTAAATTACTAATATAACTAAAAACCAACTTAATAACCCATGATCATTAGCTAGCCATAAGGGAGAAGTGGATTCAACTAAGCAAGAGTGTGTTTTTATTTAATTTGATTTAAGTTCATCTGATCTTGCAAAATCAGATAAAACCCCTTATTAAATTTGTTAATAAATTAGGTTAATTTAATAGTAAGTAGATTAATTAGTAACACCGTTCCCTGTGATCGACACCCGACTTACCTAAGCTATACTGTAATCTGACTAGATACACTGCCTATAAGTGCATAGTTAGTTTAAGTTTGTTAGGTTATAAATATTAAAATTAGTGGGTACTTTTGTGCACATCAGACCTCGACCAAACTTACTTAAATGGATTCCACAATGCATGGAACCAAAATTTCCGTAGGCTTTATCCTAGTGGACGTCCACAAGGTTTCCCATGGCTATCCCATTGTCACACCCCAAAACCGGAACGACGGAAAACATTCTGGGGTGGAGGATGTCATGTACAGTATCACAACACAGAATAATAGTAAACAAGCAAACAACATCATGCATTGCATTAAATAGCATATTTTAATACAAGTGTTCTGTATAGATTATATGACACCAAAAATGTACAACAAAATAAAAGATGAGACTTGAACGCGCTCCATCTTCTCAAAAGCTGGCATCGGTACTTGTCTACTGATGAGCTGAGAATACAAGTTATTTTGAAAGAGTTTGTCAACATTAAGCTGGTGAATTCATAAGTATTTTAGTGTCATTTTTTGCATCAAAATGTTTGATACAGTGTTTGAAGTATGAGTTTGTAAACGTTTGTATTAAAAGTATGTAAATGCTTGTAAATGTTTGTAACTCCTAGAAAATCCTATATTTTCTACTAAAAGTAGTCGTCTACCAAGACATGACTGTTTTGTATGTTTATTTCTTGTAAAAGTGTACAATTTTTCCCAAGTGTAACTATCATTATCAAAATATAGTTTATACATTATCGTTTATGTGAAATGATCACAAAGTGAATGCAAATGGGAAATTAATGTAGTACTGTAGTGTTGTATAATAGTAACTACTGCTGTACTAACTACCTTAAACCAGATTTATATTAAGGTATTATGTGATTAATTGTACCATGCTATTGACTATGCACGCGACGATGTAAGACGTTGGAAGTAATGACATTTGGCACCCGTAGACCTGCAGGTCCCACTATAGCTAATAGCAAGGTGTAGGATAGTCAATCTAGTATAGATCTATACACAAACTCACGCTCTCCCTCTAGGAGATTCTGGTTACAAATCGGGACATGTCAGGGAAGACATGCCCCGAAACAGTGGTTCACATTTATGTTATAGTATACTTGTATATGTAATGTATGTACTAGTGTAGTGAATGTGTTGTTTCTCATCATAGTATCGTTGTATAGTTTTTCATAATAGTATCGTTGTATAGTTTCTCATAATAATATCGCTGTATAGTTTCTCATCATAGTATAGTTGTATAGTTTCTCATAATAGTATCGTTGTATAGTTTCTTATCATAGTAAGTATTGAATCATGAATGAACTGACTCTTTGTATGCTTCATTGAACTAGAAGTAATGAATAGTATAACCCTAACTATACCTATTATAGTTACTAGTAGAATCATTTGTATGACTGAATGTATTGAACTGATATAAAAGTCGATATATCTATACATATATACATAATATATATCTAAGGATCCAACGACACTCAGACAAACAATAGGGTACTCTAAATCCACAACCAAACAAGGAACAGGAAATAAAGTGAGTTGGGAGTCCTAAGTCCTTCAATCCTTACTTATATAACTATATATGTAATAGACATGGTTTTAACTATATAGAAGTTTGAAAGCTATAATAGAAAAGGTTTGCTACAAAAAAGTGAGTTTAGTAAAGAGTTTAACATGTAAAAGAGTTTGATAAGCAGTTTGAAGTCATTTGTTTAGTAAAACAGTTTGAAAGTATAGCAAATCCATATGTTTGATAGTTATTAATCACATGTGATTGATATAACAACTATGACATTAAACTTGTATTCGCCCCATAAAAGCATTTAAAATCATTTGAAAGGTTGATTAAAGGGTATGAACTCACCTATAGTGAGTGATGCGACTGTAAGATCGGTTTAGGAAGTTGAGTGTCAATGGCGGACATGAGCACAAACGAATCCTATTAACCACATAACGTCATATATATGTATACAATTAGTGCTTGTACCAACTAAGTATTGAATTGGGACCACCTTAGGGACTAGCAAACACTTATACTGAAGTGTTACAACCATATATGATTATATATGAGGAGTATGTGGCTATAGAAGGGAGTGTATGGT